GGCGTCATAACTTCATATAAATATTTTTTCCTGCCTTCTACGTACTTTATCACCATCCTGCAACGGTAACTTTCTAAACTAATTAATGAATTCTAACAAAAATTAAGGACATCTCGCTAAACGCTAAATGTTTCTACTGAGGAAATCCCACCTCTACAAGCCGCAAAATTCCTCACCTAATTTGAGTCTCCTACTATGGCTACGCGTCAGCTTTACGACATGGCACTTTTTGTATTTTCTAAGGATCCTAGTTTTTTTTTAAGGATCCTAGTTCTACACTTTTTTTTAACGGACCTCAATTTGTTCCACATTTTTCTGAGGAACTCAATTTGCATTTAAAGACTGTTTAATTCTTCGAAAAAGAGCATTACTTTTCATAATTTATGAACGTATCGTTGATAAATTTTGTTACAAATTGATTGATTGTCTCCAGTTCATCCAAGCCTTCCGGAGAGTTTTTCGTTCTTTCGAACAGTTTCGCGATAAGTTGATATAAACTTCGCATTATCTTAAAAGAAAAAACACGTTGAAATTTTTATCATCATTAAGAGCTTGCCAACAAGGCACAGTGAGAAGCGGCGCTGCTTTTGAGGATTCAACTCTACAAACTCAAACAATCATTCCTCCTCTACGAATCGTTCATTCGTATCGACGGTAAGCTGGCATGCCCGGAAAGTTGAAACAGCCACCAGCTTGCTTGTAAGCAATCGTGGAAAAGAATAACCATCGGTATTCCTGCTGTTTCATGTGCTGTCACTCGGGCTACTTCCGATTGCTTTGCTTCTCAGGGAGAGTGAATAAGGGGGGTTGCAAAGTATATGACTTAATTGACTTAATGGAACTGTTAAGACGTATATGACTTAATGGACCGAAACGTCTTATCTTATTTTTGCCTCCTTTCCTCATTCTTTCCAGCTTTCTGTATTCAATACGCCTTCGGCACTTCGGCATCCAAGGTCTACTTGGATGCTACAATCGGCTTAAAAATTACAAAGATCGCTCGAACTGCTGGTAGTCAACTTCGACGTTACTGTGATGCACATACATACTGTTGCAAAAGGAAGGAGCAAGTAACAAGGACGCGAAGTTGGAGCTTCAATCCCCTTCGCCCTGTCCATTTCCCCTTCGGTTTCCAATATGTAAATGCCCCGTCCCTTGGCTCGAGCCCCTCCTCCGTGATATTTAATGTGATGATTGAGAATGAAATTGTCAGTATAATTGTTTGGTTTTGCGCGATCTGGGAGTGTGCGGTGGCAACTTGGAGCTGCTGCCGCCTGGAATTATTGTGTGTGGCCGGCGGCAGCTTGGAGCTGCTGCCGGGCAAATCCTGGGCTAGTTTGTTTTTTTTTACTAATTGTTTTTTTTTTCTTTTGTGCGATTGAGCTAATAAAGAAGTGAATCTATTGCTTTGTGTTGCAATTCCCAGCTAGGCAGGGCCCCATCTCCAGCTCCTCCTCCGCTCGAACGTTAGATACTGGCTTTAGCTGTGCCTGCCTCCTTTAGCCTAGGCCTTGTCCTCCGCTTAAACCGTCAATCTTGTACGACGGGCAACTTTCTGAAATGGTTAGATTTCACAATTTCTATGATAAAGGAATGCAAAACCGATAAAGACAAACCTGATTTTGCTGGCAATTCAGGCAGGCAACAATTCCACGCTGTAGCATTTTCACATTCGGAACAACTTGTTCTTGTGGCTGTAAAACAATCAAAAATAAGTACCAGTTGTTAACATGACCATAGTCCGCCTTGTTCGACAGGCGCTGTGAATTTCCAGCACAAATTCCAATAACGCACCTCATCGTGATATAGAATTTGGCATTTGATTCAGCAGTGCTGATACACACACAAAATATTAAGAGTCTTATCTAATGAACTTAAACATCACAATGCACCCACGGATACATCGGACATATTTAGTGTTTCATCCCTTAGCTGTAAACACGGAGAAAGCAGACTATGTCGCTTGTATGACAATCATAGATGCAACTCTACCAGCAATTTATATGATGAGTGTGCGCCTGATTAAAACAACAGAGAATTGAAAAAAAAAAAGCAAATGTCGAAAGAACAAATAAGAAAATATAAGAAAAACATGCAAAAATTTTCACTCGGTAATTGAAAACATATTCTGCGCTGCATTTAAGGCACAGGGCAGTATTTGGATCGAGTAAGCTTGGACAGTAAGGAGTGGCATGGCTAGTGGGTGTTGATACAGGCTGTGAACGAAACGGAAAACGTAACGTCAGAATGAATATAAATGAAAAACAAAAGATACGGGCATCTTTCAGCTTGGTCTACGGCATCGGCAGGCCCAGGAAGTGAGGGAGGAGATGGCCCTTAGCCCCCCCCCCTACCCAGCTGAACAGGTAGTAGCGCTAAAAGTGGAAAAAACTCTCTTCGACATCTCTCCATGCCCCCTTCCTCCCCCTCCAGTCGTTGCCGTTACGACCGATGAGCGGGAGGAGCAGAGGAAGGGATAGTGGGGGGAAGGGGTTAGTGGGGCTTCCGACATAGCGACGAACGCAAGAGAGGGGAAGAAAAATCGTCCAAATCCCCCCCCCCCCCCTTCCCCACCCCGGGAAACTGTCCTGGGTCCTTATGGCCGCGGGTTCGCAACTGGATTAATCCTTCAAACAAATTCAGCAGTTTACTAAACCCGTATAGTTTTGCCTGTGACTACTCTAAAGCTCAGGATAATGCGGTTTAACCGAAACTGATGCAAGAGTATGCGGATTAACTAATTTTGCCTTTCAAAAAGTCGCAGGTAAGAAGAAAATACAAAAATTTCACTAACCAGAATTGTTACAAGATGTGAAATCACTTCCAGTGATGTTTGTAGCTGCGACAATTGATGTGAAATTGATGATTGTTCACGGAATTGCTGAGTTAATACTTCTGATGCTGTCATTAGCTGTTTCTCCAACCTGAAACAAATAAACCTTTATGCTACACTGCTTTGTTTTTTGTTCCCTCTCAGTCAAAAATTTGCTCATAGAAGCCAGAGTACAATATTTCTGAGGAAAATTTTTGTGAAAAAAAAATAGCAATTGTGGCATTTTTCGAAAAAAAAAGAGTCGAAATCAAATTTTTTCTAACTTACTAAACAATCAATCAATGACAAGGAGAACCATTAATAACAGAACAAAAGAAAGTCAAAATCATCTTCGTATTCACTTTCTACGAGAGGCAGAATCATTCGGAACTAACATCAAACGGCTGCATGCGTCAAATGCAGCTACCAACTTCCAACAATGTCGATGGCTCTCTCCTTCGAGGGTTGTTAAGATCTAAGCAATGGTAATTTCGTATCCCAAGCATAAGCCAGTACCACTTTATCATTGGTGTGAATGAACGAATCGTAGAGGGATTGGTTGCTCACCGGAACGAAGTCAAATTTCGCTCTTCTGCATGACAGCAGTGCTCCTTGCTTCTGCGTCATGCTAGCAAGCTGTAGGAAAAGTCAGAACTCAAAACCTCTCACATATTCTTTTTCTATGAAATGCTGCGGCACTCGGAGTGATCACATGTTTGCAAGACTATGTAATAAATATAAAATTTACAAAATTTGAAACCCGAAATTTTTGAAAAATTTATCAAACTCCCTCGAAAAAGAGCGAGATTTATACAACCCATCTTTATTTCCCCCTTTTTCATTCATCTCATAAATTTTGGAATGTTAATTACGGGGACGGCTGTTAGAAACATAAGGATGCTGCCAGTGGCCTTCTTTCCAGGATAGATCAGCGATTACGCATGTATACGAGAAATTCTAGTTTTCGGGAAAATCTCTTCCAAGAAATTCTAGTTTTTGAGAAAATTTTTTCCAAAAAATACAAATTTGGCTTACCAAGTAAGTTTGAATGAGGCAGTAAGTCCCCAGACATTACTCTTC